CCCCAGCTCAGAGGGCGCCGCCCAGGCTGCCTGCAGGAAGGGCGCTGGCTCCAGCCACAGCCGCCCGGCTGACCCTGGCCGCGCCTTGGGGGGAGGCAGCTGCCCAGACTCCGCGTGGGAAATGCACGGATGTTTAATAGTGAAAATAAGTTAACGCCGCAACACAAGCGCAGTGACAAACAGAACTTCACAAACACAAACACGACTACTACTACGAACAAAACCATATAAATAACAGAATCCAGAGAAGACAAGTCCCCAGGGCAATGTGGCTCTGGGGGGGGGGGCAGGCTTGGCCCGGGGCGCCTGCCTGGGAGGGTCCAGTGAGCCCTGGGGACCCGGCAGGTGCCTGGGCCTGGTGCCAGTGGGAGGGCGCGGAGAGCCTCTTTCTGCCAGAGCCCCCTGGGGGGCAAAACACCCCAGAGGCCTCCCTGGGTCCTTCGGAAGGTGGCCTGGAGTCCCCCACCCTGAGAGGCCAGTGTAAGTGTCCCAGGGCTGCAGTCGTGGGGATCCCCTGCCCTGTGGGTGGGAGCTCCTGCCTGGGCCCCGGTGAGGCACCTGAGGGCGGGGCCTCAGTCCCAGGGCTGGCTAAGGGAACTGGGGGGTCAGAGGCAGGGCCCCGAGTGTGCCACCAGCCTCAGGTCCCACGTGAGCAGGCGCAGGAGGCTGAAGATGACCGTGGCTTCCTGGCATCCAGGTGACTTCTGGAAACCGAAAAGGAGGGAGCAGGAGCAGGTGAGGCAGCTGTGTCCCGCAGACCCGCCCTGCCCCGGGCTCCCTGGGGCGCTCGCCTGCCCGCTGCACTCACAGCTCTGAGCTTTTGCGTTTTCGGTTTCCCGGGCCTTTTCCGGGCCCTCCTCTGAGTGTGCTGGAACTTCCTGGAGGAGCCCCGAGGGCCCGGCTGGAACTGGGGGGAACTCGAGGTCAGTGAGGCAGGAAGAACCTGGTCTCCCCGCGATGCGACGCCCCAGGCCTCCCGCCACAGACTAGAGTCCAGATAGTGGACAGCGGGGGACGCTGATTTCCTTGGGGCCGGTGTCAGGTGGCAGGAGGAGGGGGGCCTGCGGGTGGAGCGGGCACTCACGCAGGCAGACATGTCCCGCCAGACCGCAGCCAGCAGCTCCAGCGTGGGGCCGGTGCCCGGGAGTGGCTCGGAGCTCCAGCTCCGCAAGCTGCCCAGCACCGCCAGGGCGTCGGCGATGCCTCGGGCCACCAGTCGCAGCCTCGCGCAGGACTGCGGGATGCGGAGTGGAGAGTTAGAGGGACAGCGGCTCCCCTCCCCGCCCCCACCAGGCCCGCTCCCCTCCCCGCCCCCACCAGGCCCGCTCCCCTCCCCGCCCCCACCAGGTCCTCGCTCACCGAGGGCGGGGGAGGATTCCTCCTGGAGCGGAGGGAGCAGTTGTGGGGCACCGAGCTCAGCTTCTCTTCCTCCTGCGGGCCAGAGCGGAGGCTGGGGCTCTTGCCTGGGCCCTGGGGCAGGGGTGGGGGTCTGGGGGGGCTGCTGGCTGTGGGCGACCAGCTGGGGCGGCTGGGCTTGTCGCGAAAGGGGGATGAAATGCACCCCTTGCTCTCCTTGGTCCGCCCCGTGCCCCCTGGAGAGGGCCAGGCTGGTGTGGGCAGCGGATGGGCCGGTGGCGTGGGGGCGGAGCGGGCCTGGCCACCACTCACATAGCGGTCCTTCAGCGCTTTGACCGCTGCCAGGGCCCTGGGGTCCAGCCAGCGGTAGTGAGTCAGACGGCAGAGTTGGGGCACAGGCGCGTCGGGGTCTGCCTCCAGGCCCAGCATCACCAACACCCACACCCCCAGGGCCAGTGCCGCTCCACCACTGTACCCCATTTCTGCTCCTGCAGGAGGCATGGATCTCAGGGGGGCTGAAGAGATGGCACCCCCTCCCAACCCCAGCCTCAGTTTACTCCCCACAGGGACTGTGGTGCAGCACCTGCAGGGGACACAGCCTGGCGGGGCTGCTCCGGCCTCTCCTCACCTGCACTGTGCACTGCGGCCTGGTGCTGCCCCCGGGCCTGTTTCTGCTGTCCCTGGTGACTCTGCAGTGGGGCCTGCAGCCTCCATGGTGGCTTTTATTTTGTGCCTGGTAAGAAACAAAAGTGGGGCTTCCCTGTCTTGGTCATCCTTTCCAAACGTCACTGCTGGCCACCAGCCGGCCGGGCTGCCCTGGCCAGGGGACTTTACCTGCTGCGACACAGCCAGCCAGGGCCAAGCCCCGCTCCGGCCAAGCCTTGCGTCTGTTTGCACACGTGTGTTTGTTTTGCTGTTTGTCTCCTTTTGCTCTCTAGGAATGATTGAGAAACACTCCCCCCCCCTTTCTTGCATCTAAGCTGGCAGCGGTACCCACACAAGTGTGTGCCCGTGGGTTCCTGGTGCCCGTTCCGACCCTCTTTCTGCACTCACTCTTGTGATCACATGTCTTGTCTGTCTGTATTTATCTGTCTGTCACTAGCTTTCCTTCTCGGCTTGATGTTCTCTCTTCTTCCCTTCTTCTTTCTGTGTTTCCTCATCTGGGTCTTTGACAAACTCTCTGACCACCTTTCTCTATTATTTAATATTACATACACACACACACACACACACACATATATGTACATATATATAAAGCCAGTTATAAGACTGTTCGTATTTTCCCTTAGCTCAATAGTTCTAATTTTTAATCACTTGGGTATAATTCCTACTCTTCAAAATAAATTAAAATATTACTGATAGGGCCCTCCCTGGTGGCGCAGTGGGTTAAAGCACAGCACTGAGAATCTAAAGCCGCTTCCGCACGAGTTCGATCCCCGCCTGCCCCGGAGGTGACCCCATGGCCACGGCAGACCTCTCCTGACCCGCCCGCTGCTCCCCTCAGCAGTGGACTTCGTCTATCTGCCTGTTCTGCCCCCCACTCTGTCTCTGGTGAAGCCTCTCACCGCCCCTGAATCTCTGGCCTGTACCCCAGTTCTGTATGAACAAATAAATCTTTTAAAAAAATATTACTGATAAATTTACTCACTCCAGTGATTATTCTTTTGCTTCTCCGGCCCACTCCAGAGATACCCTGTGACAAATCAGTTAGGATCACATGTTGGCCTGTCTTTTAAAATACATGTTGTGGTAGAGCTATAATTCCCAAGATGCACAGTTGTGTTGACTAAGCTTCCACTTGACATCATTTTGTTTGGCTATGAACAGGATACAGTCAAGACACAGAAAATTCCATCACTGCCAAATTCCCTCACATACTTCTCAACGGCCAAGCCCACTCCCGTCATGACCTTGTCAACCACGAATCTGCTCTCTCTTTCCCTTTCTATATTTTTATCATCTCAGGTATTATATACATGGTGTTTGTCACATGGTGTATATCCTTTGGAATAGGCTTTTTTCATGGAGCATAATTCTTCGGAAATTTGCCCAGATCATTGGTGTATCAAGAACTTTTAATTTTTTTGTTGTTGAATGGTTTGCATAATGTGCATATCCTATAGTTTAACTGTAACCTCTACAGGACATCAGGATGTCTGCTTGTTTCTGGGTTTTGACTTACAAATAAAGCTGCTATAAACATTCACATGCAAGCTTTTGTGTGAACAGAAGTCTTCATTTCTCTGGAATAAATACCTTAGAGTGCAATTGCTAGGCAGTAGCACAAGTTGTGTGTTCAATTTTTCAGGAAACTGTAAACTATTTCCCAGAGTGTCTGGACCTCTTGACATTCATACCAGCAATGTGTAGTGATTCAAATATACACTGCATTTTACCAGGATTTAATTAAAAATTAAACTGTGCAGATTTTAGCCATTCTGATCATTGTGGAGTGACATCTTCTTGTGGTCTGAAACCACATCTGCCTGCAATGGCTAACGGAGTCCAACATATTTCCATGTGTTTATTCTCCATCTATGTGTCTCTCTCCTGAAATGTCTGTGTCTTTCACCCATTTTTCAATTGAATTGTTTAATATTTTACTGTTGAGTTTTGAGAGCTCTTTTTTTCAAGATACGAATACTTTATCAGATAGGTGGTTTGCAAATAATCTCTCACACTCTTTGGCTCATCTTTTAATGTGACACAGAGCAAACGTTTTTTCATAAGCCCGATTGATCGGCTTTCCTTTTATGGACTGAACACTTGGTGTCAAGCCGAACAACTCTCCCTGCCCCTAGGACCTGAAAATGTTCTCATGTATATTTTTAAATTTTTATCTATATATTTGACATATAAGAGCTGGGGTACAGGCCAGAGGTGTGGGGGTGACAGGATTCACCTGAGACAGAGTGGGGAGCAGAACAGGCGGATGGACTAAAACACACTATTGAGGGGAGCAGCGGGGAGACAGGAGAGGTCTGCTGTGCCCGTGGGTCACTCCCTGGCCGGGGATCCAACTCCTGCCACAGTGGCTGGTGACAGCTTGTTAGACAGTGCTGAGGCTTTAACCCCTGTGCCAAGAGGGAGGCCCCTCATATTATTTTTTCTAAAAGGTTTATGGCTTTCTAGTTTTCATTTGAATCTGTGGTTCATTTGGAGCTGCTTTTTATTTTGGGTGTGAAGCTTAAGCGAAGGTTAATTTTTGTGGCCGATGCATGGGCAGTTGCCCTGCACCATTTGTTGAAAAGGCAATTTTTCTCCATTGAATTGCTGTTGATGTGTGAATACTTTTAAATGTAGTGAGCCCCACCACATGTACTGTTCAGGAACGCTCTCTTTTCACGCTATACATTTTCCCGTGTCAATACAATTCACTTGATGTAACTGCTGCAGGTTGAGCTTAATCAGGGGTTCACAGGGTAGTGTCACAGTAAGATTCAGGGGCAGGCGAATTTGCATGAAGAAAAGATACCTCTTTCTGTTACCAACCTCTACCTGAAATTTAGCCTTTCCTTTCACTGTGAGTATAAACAACAGCCAGGATACTCTACAGAACCTGTCACTGAAAAACCACACATTCTCATAGCATTTACAGATGTGGTGTGCACATCTCTGGAAATACCACTTATTCTCAGTGTTACCTCCAAAGAATAGTAGTTATTAGACCTATTGCTCTATCTTTTATAAATATATATATATATATCTTTTATAAAACATTAATAAATAGGCTTATATATCACGTGCTGTGAAACTGTTTTTATATTTTGGTAGCTGTGTTTCACTATAATCAGTTTTCTTCATAGGACTATGCATTTTATGTTATGCATTCAAGAACACATCTGTAAGCTAGTAAGTGATTGTAGCAAGACAGATTGCAGGATACTTGGTTAGAATACAAAAGTCAATTGCTTTCTTATGTAACAGCTACAATCACTTTGAATTTTAATTAAAAAATACCATTTGTATTGGAGTCCCTCTCCCCAAATCTAACAAAATATGAGGAAAATGATGCATCTTTGATGAAAGAAATCAAAGATCTAAAAATGGGCCCTCCCTGGTGGCGCAGTGGGTTAAAACGCAGCACTGAGAAGCTAAAGCCACTTCCGCATGAGTTGGATTCCCGCCTGCCCCGGAGGTGACCACATGG